AAGCTCTTTTGGGGCGGGTGTTGTGTCTAGGAGGTGTCCTGCAAGCTGGACCCCTCTCACGAAATTATTGCCAAATTTTTGGCCCCCCCTTAAGATCTCGAGAACCACGCAACCTAGCGACAAGCGGCAAACGGTGTTGGATAGCCCAATTAGGGAACTACCTTGTGACCCAATTTTATTGACCTAGGTCAAACCGATGACGTCACAGGTCAGGTCAAAGGTCCAATTTTCACCGTTTACAGCCATTTCAAGAAATGCGTTGTAAAATCGAGGTAAAATGCATTTCATTGAAAATCATCGATGGGGAAATGTTCTTCAAACACATATTTTGCTATTTGAGGTCACTGATACCAGGTCAGGTCACAGAGGTCAGGTCACTGGGGGGTCACAATATGAAAGTGTCGTGTGATGCATGTTTTATGGTCCATTTTACATGACAAATGCGATTATGTGGGTCAGGCAGCCTTTGGGGCCAGCTTAGGTCACGTTTTGGTCAAGGTCAGGTCAAGGTCAGGTCAAGGTCAGGTCAAGGTCAGGTCAAATTAGGTCAAATTTCAAAGTTGATATTTTTGCATTTTGCATAAAATGGGTATGGAATCGATGCAGCTCGTCACGGGGAGTTCAACGGTGGTCTTTGTTTTGCTGTACGTGGTCTAGAATCGCTAAAAATTGAGTTCAAAAATTTGACGTCATCATTTTTGAACAGATTTTTCGCTATAACTTGGTCAAAAAACGAGATATTGATCTGAAGTTTGGTATGTATATAGAAGAGCGCAGGGACTATCACATATATTCCGGATTTTGTTTTATTTTTTAAAGTTTTTTCAAAAAAAATCAATTTTTTGAATTTTTTAGGGTCAAAAACCCAAAATTTTGAAAATCTGAGATAGCAGTTTTGTAGCGCCGCTTGTTGTCTACTAAACCATATAAAGAACTTTGAAATTGCATCATAACTGTAGATTTGGTGAGCGTTTAAAGATTGCATGTTTTTTGCTCATTTTTGCTCGAACATGACCTCAGTTTGACCTCAATAACTCCTGACCTAGGGTGACCTAAGACTTGAAATTTTGTGTGAAGGTGTCAAATTGATGCCCGGGAAGGTACTGAAAATTTGGCGGCGCTGTGCGCCGCCGTTTTTTTGCTATTCAGGAAAAACCACAGAGGGGGCCAAAATGCCCCCCCCAACGGGGCGAGGGTCCTAGCAATCTTAAACGCATTCATAGTAATAACAAAATGGTAGAATAATGACACTCCCATAAATATAGGTCGGCGATTGTTGAGCACTTCGTGTGTCACAACATCTTCGTGTTTCCCTACATTTCTAGATCTTAAATTCCTTAGCCTTGCGACCATCAACACATTCTAATTAAATTATTCAACTCATTCTGTGAATGATTTAGTCATTCTAACGCAAAACAAGGTTACAGGTATTCGGAATATTTGGGGGGGGGGTACTGTATGTACCCCCCATGGGAATTATTGAGGGTGTCCGGACCCCCGCGTACCCTCCTGTGGCGGAACCCCTGCATGCTAATACACAACCTAACAGATGCTTACTACCATTTAAGAGCTGTTCATAAACATGAGTCGTCGATATGGCTTATAACGTGTATGACAGAGAGATAAAAATTTGTTTTACGATAACTGGAGCGTGTTTCATCTTGGTGTGGATGTGGTGCGTGGGTGGCGTGCCTTATTTACGAGTAGGTATGTTGGTATGTACTCACCTTGTTTTTTGCTTTGTTTTGTTTCGTTTATTGTTTGTTTTGTTTGTTTTGTTTTGTTTTGTTTTGTTTTGTTTTGTTTTGTTTTGTTTTGTTTTGTTTTGTTTTGTTTTGTTTTGTATAATAATAATATAAGAATAACCAATAACCTCATAATTTAAATCAGAGATAGGAGCCAAAAAGTTATATTTAAATTGAAATTTAATATTAATAACTATTAAATTGAAATATTAAGTTGAAAAAACGTATATGTTTTTTTTTTTGTAATTATCGCTGACGAAGCTCCAGGAGCGAAATATTCGATAACTTAAAATATAACTTTTTGGCTCCTATCTCTGATTTATATTATGAGGTTACTGGTTATTCTTATATTATTATTATTCATCATGAGCCTCAAGCAGAGTTTCAGCTTTTTAAGTTGTTTTGTTTTGTCTTGTTTTGTTTTGTATTGTTTTGTTTGTTTTGTTTTGTTTTGTTTTGTTTTGTTTTGTTTTGTTTTGCTTTGCTTTGTTTTGTTTTGTTTTGTTTTGTCTTGTCTTGTCTTGTTTTGTTTTGTTTTGTTTTGTTTTGTTTTGTTTTGTTTTGTTTTGTTTTGTTTTGTTTTGTTTTGTTTTGTTTTGTTTTGTTTTGTTTTGTTTTTGTTTTGTTTTGTTTTGTTTCGATAGGCGTTATCACAAGTGTATTCGCGGCCATTGGGGCGACGTAAGAAAAGAAGAAACCAACTGGCCCCAAGAACTTTAAATTATCAGTTAGCATGCACCCTTTCCTTGATGTGTAGAGAATTTACCATTATTTGTTACAGAAAATTACATTTAAAATCTTCCATTTATGCTTTTTTCATCGTTTGCACAATATGTTCTTTTACTAAGCTAGAAACACTAATTAGAAATAGTTCCCGCATCATCAAGAACAATAGGGAAGGCTTGAAGTGAATAAAATAATTTAAACGGTTTTGTAATCTATGTGAAGGCACTTCTAAAATTGCCTGTAGAAATATTGAAGCAAAAGTTCAACTTTTTCACAAGACGGATGTTATTTAAACCTATTTAACTTGTGACAACTCAGCCGGTATTTCGTCGCCTACAGCCCAGCTTTCCCTAGTGACCGATAGAAGCGCTGCTATCGATGTCCGCCCGTTCCGCCTAACGTTGTTTTGTTGATTAGTTAATTTTTAACATGAATATTGAATGCTATAATTTTTTCCTTTCTGATCCGTGTTCAACCCCCAATTCCCGAATCCGGCCCGCCCAGATCCGTTGTTTTTTCCAAATTTGGGATCCAATCGTATCCGGTCCTGGATAACGGATTTATCCTGCCCATAAAGTGCTCTACGACCAGCCCCCCCCCCCCCAGTACTCACTGCAGCCTGCGGTGGGTGTGCTCTAGTGGTGTCAATTTCATAAAATGTATGTCCAATGTCCGTCCAATGTCCAATACTTACGTCGACTGTCCGTCCAAAAATGTCCAAGCTAGCCATTTATCCAAAGATGTCCGACATCTACGCAATAGTTTACACTCAACACCGTTATTTAACTTTGCTTTTAATGTATCGTTACCAGCTCAAAGTGTTAATCATATCGAAAGCTGAGCTTTCTAATAGGCAATCAATGGTAAACACGATTACTTTATTAAAATGTTGAGGTGTAGCAAGCGATTGTCCAAAGTTGTCCAAAGCCTGCTGTCATTGTCCAACCGAATTCCGAATTGGACATTGGACAAAATCGGAATTCCGAAGATTTAAGTTCCGATTGACACCTCTAGTGTGCTCCCTGGGGAGCAGCGGAGCCGCTCCAAGGGAGCAGCCCGCATGAGATAAAGGTGCTTGTCCAGCCCGGATCGAGGGTTGCGGCGTGGAGGAGAATGACTTGAACATCCTGAAGATGGAAACGACGGACGGGTGTGCTCACTGCTCAATTTCTTCGTGTTATGCATGTCTATGGATGTCAGTGCCTTCTTGCCTCGGTCTCGGCGTTCGGGGATTGGGATTTCTGAATGGGGGCACTCTAATGGCCGCCCCACACTGGAACTGGCATGCGGGTTGCGGGTTTTTTGGGTTTTCGGGTTTCCTCAAAATTAAATAATACAATCTATGCTGAGTGATCCACACTACCATCTAGCAAGCGAGTCTGCATGTTCTTAGCTTGCGAGCCACCTTGGATCGCATTCCAAAAGTTGATTTTGAGTCAACTTTCGATTTTCCTCGCTGCGAGGTCTGCGAGTTCTGCGAGGTTTGCGGGTTTTTCGTTGGAGTCGAATTTTGGTTCGTTACGCTGGTATTGCGACTATATGTAATCTGAAGGTGTATCGGCTTCACTGCAATCATGAAGATACCATGAGGGAACGGTCTAATCACTCTATAAATCAGTATCATGCCAGCAAACTCAAAACCCGCAAACTCGCAACCCGCATGCGAGGTCCAGTGTGGGGCAGCCTTTAGAGGTATGAATCCATGTCCGAGCTTGCCATTGCTTGATCTCACCCATCAACCAAGCAGGCTTAACTGTTCAAACGCTGGCTCAGATATATAAGGTACTATTTCAATTACAATTTCTAAGGTACAAATTCTTCCGCCACTTTCGCATTACTAAACAAGAGGCACCCAACTGGGCATCCAACTCAACTCTGTAGTGTACATTGATTTTACCAACTTAGCACTTTTTTCCTATCGCTGGAGGTGAAGCAGGTACACGTACGAGTATGTACTCGTTCGTACTACGCGCCTACCTATCGTAATAAATATCTTTGTTTGGAGGAGATTGTACTCATCTTCCCCGGCAAAATAAGTTATTATATAACGTTGAGGATCACTGATCTTGAAAACTTTGCCGTCGCAATACTTTCCAGATTGACAAGATCATAGCGATTCGTTATATGAGACTGTAAAGTCATATTTTAACCCAGGTATATTAGTGATAATAAATCGTTAAGCGGACTGACTGGGTGTAAAGAAGTTATTTTCCCTGTACTTTTTTGAATTGGTTTTTGAATTGGTTTTTTGAATCGCATTGCCCCTTTGAAGACCTGTCAATAAAGGTCGAAGTACAGGGGAAAATAACTTCTTTACACCCAGAGTCAGTCCACTTAACGATTTATTATCAAGATCATAGCGGTCATAAGTGTTTAGCTGCCCGGCGTCTGGTGTCCCTGTCCGTTTCAGTGGCTTTGGGCTGTCTGGTGTCTCCTGTCCTGGCTTCAGTGGTTTCAGCTGTCCTGTCCTGGTTTCAGTGGTTTCAGCTGCCCGGTGTCTGAGTGTCTCGTCTCGCTCCTCTGTTGCAGTGTGAGCTCGGAGAGAGGTTTTAGCGCCGCGCCTCGCTGGCGGTGGCCGCCGCTCTACTCGGGCGCCGCTCTACGCCGATGTCCGTGCAGGGGCGCAGCGCCGGGCCGCCGCTCTACTCGGGCTCAGCGCAGGGCCGCCGCTCTACTCGGGCGCAGCGCAGGGCCGCCGCTCTACTCGGGCTCAGCGCCTGCCGCCGATGTCCCTGCAGGGGCTCAGCGCCGGGCCAGGTGAGGGGGCCGACCGGACCAGACACGCCCCCCCCCCCCCGCTCAGTGGAGGACGGAGGTGGACACACAGTTGGTGCCGGCCGCCTTTCCCGGGGGTGCCGCCTTTCCCGGGGATGCCGCGCTCCCACCGGTCGTGGTCCGCTCCCACCGGTCAGTGGAGGTAGACTTCAATAAGTGGACGCCTCCCCTGGTCAGGGGCCGTTCCTACCGGTCAGTGGAGGTAGACTACAGTAAGTGGGCGCCTCCCCTGGTCAGGGGCCGCTCCACCAGTCAGGGGGCCGTTCCACCGCTCAGTGGAGGTAGACTACAGTAGGTGGGCGCACCCCCTGGTCAGGGGCCGCTCCACCAGTCAGGGGGCCGTTCCACCGCTCAGTGGAGGTATACTACAGTAGGTGGGCGCCTCCCCTGGAGTGGTCAGGGGCTGCTCCACCAGTCAGGGGGCCGTTCCACCGGTTAGTGGGCGTTCGCCGGTCAGTCAGACGCTCCATCGCACAACCTTTGTGAAAAAGGTGCACGCCCCACTCTGTTCACAATAGCCGTTTTCACGACGGGCTGTAAGGCAAATGCACCTAATTTGACCAAATCTGCACCAAACCTCTTTTACTATAAATATCTTGGTGTCATGATTTGAATTTATTTCAGTGTTTTAATCGAAAATAATGTCATTCACAAAGTATTTTAAACTACAAATGCTCCTTGCACAAGCACTAAGAAGACTGAAAATAATTTGTCTGATAATTTGAAATATGAGGTTTATAAGCATCTGTGCAGCCCAAACTGATAACTTTTAAGAAACACGCTGAACCTAAGTTGACCAAATCTGTACCAAACTCTGCGCCTAATCTGCACCAAATGGCTGTCGTGAAAACCGTCAATGTCATATCCGCCCTGCCGCTGTGTGTGCACTGTGCATGTATGATACGACTCATGAGTCATGACAGTCACGGATTGTATAATTGTTCAGCTTTTAGATATTGACGAACATATTCATATCCTTTCAGAAGAGCGGTACCTATTTGACTCAGCCGGAAGTGTTTGGTCGTCCGCACAAGTGTGGTGGGAAGATGTGCAGCAGCTCGGAGGAGCTCGCCGGCTCGGTGGTGCGCTGAGGACGCTGGACGCAGGATGGAGACGGGCTGCGGCAGGGCGGGCTGCTGAGGACGCAGGACGGAGACGGGCTGCGGCAGGGCGGGCTGCTGAGGACGCCGGACGGAGACGGGCTGCGGCAGGGCGGGCTGCTGAGGACGCTGGACGCCGGCCGGAGACGGGCTGCGGCAGGGCGGGCTGCTGAGGACGCTGGACAGAGACGGGCTGCGGCAGGGCGGGCCGCTGAGGACGCTGGACGGAGACGGGCTGCGGCAGGGCGGGCCGCTGAGGACGCCGGCCGCCGGACGGCCGCTGAGTGCTGCGGACGCTGCGGAGAGGGCGCTGGGGACGCCGTGACCGGGCCGGCGCGGCCATCTGTGATAGTGCCGACCGAAACCCGCCGCGCCGGGCCTCCGCTCACAGCAGCGGGCCGCGGGCCGCCCGCGATCAGCTGCATCAGCGCTGAGCAGTCGGCAGCCAGCGGGTGTGTTATAATGTGTCCATCCATAATAACATGCGCTCGTCGAACAGACCATGGTGCTCAATTTCGCCTAGCGTGGCCGTCATGTCGGTAGCCTGCTCAGTGCTCAGCAGTACATGGGACGCCGCACTCTGCACCGTACTATGAGTGGTTGAGGCTAACCGTATTTGCGAGCTCTCGACGAGAGGGTTTTGGAAAGGCTAGCTACTGTATGTATTGGGTAATATATCAATTAGAAATAACGAAGGCCTTCGGATGCTGTGCTCGGTGTTTTCTTCGTAGACGTCATTTCAGGGGAGTCTGAAAATATTTTGCAATCTATAAACGTTCTCATTCTATTATTTCTTTACCAAATGTCCCACGCTCAATGCAATACACTGCATCAACTACATATTTACATACTACCTTTTTGTTATCCTGGCAAATCTCAATATGTCAATAACCCAAGGCGTGTTAAGTTAACATCTCACTAACCCATGATGTGTTAATGTCAATTTAACCCTCGCCAGGCGAGGGCCTTTTTCATAATACGGACGGCGAGAGGGGTTGGTACGACCCCCTCGGCGATTGGCTCCTATGGCACTAAGAAACGCCAAATTTACAGGATAGGTGGGCCTATAAGAGATCTCACCCTCGTGAAAATTTGGTGACTCTAAGCCAATATTTAGGGTGGTTTGGACTTTGGAGGGTATAAGTACAAAAACTTCGTAAAAACATGTCAAAAGGGTTTCGCTTATAACTTAATATCTAGTGAAGATAAAGCAAACATAAAAGCACCAGTGAACTAAGCACGTCTGTAGGCATCGAATGATATACTTTGCTACCAATTTAAGTGAACTTTTGAATCTTTTTTCAAAATTAAGTGAACTTAAAATAATTAATTGAGTTTACGTCAATCAAAATGCTTCATATTGCATATCATTCGAATTACCTGATCACAAGGAACACAATGACACCATTTTTGAAGCTCTAGCCTCATTGTGTGCCAAGTTATTAGCAAAAACGTAGTTTGACCTTAGTTGACCTCAGTTGACCCGACCCAAGCATTCCTTCAGCTTGCAAACACCAACTAGATGTAAATCAAGGTAGTATAATACAAAAACGTTAAAAAAGAGTACAAATCTCTCATCAGTCATCTTTACACCTTCGGGCAAATTTCCTTAAAATTTGTGATGACCTCTAGATGACCTCAGGTCAACCAAATTTAAAAAAAACTGGAGTGCATTTGATGAACCTCGGTGGGCTAAGCATATACCCTGCAAGTTTGAATCAAATCAATGAAGAACTCCAGTTTCCATGAACAAAAAAGTGCATTTTTAGAGCTATTTTGACAATGTACCGGTTACGGTTTTTGTAACCTTGTGACCTGACCTCGGGTCACTGGAACCTAAAACTGCCAGGTCAAGTAACAAATAAATTTCCCAAGTTATATATGAAATTTGGTAGCGCTACGTGCCATAGCACTCACGCTATCAACGAAAAACTCTGGCATCCAGTTGCCGCTGAACTAGTCCAATTTTCCCCTGACCTTGTATTGGTTTTTGTGACCTGGTGACCTGACCTGAAAAGACTGAAACCTGAAATTTTCAGGATAGGTGCCAAAAAGTTTCCGGCCAGAGAGTAGTTAAATTTGGTGGCGCTATGCGCCTCCGTTTTAACCCTCGCCCGCACATGGGGGGGGGGGGGTGGTTGCCACCCCCCAGGTAGTCTTTCTGCTCTGCACTCAACATTTTTAGAGCTAGAAGGCTGATTTTCGTATAGTTGCTCCTCTATCCTTTCTTGATGTCCACTGAAAATTTCAAGTTTCTGTGATTTTTGTTTCGGAGATATGACCTTGTTTTTCAGGTCATGTCATGACCCAAATGGCCAATTCTCAACATCTTGCGCTGGCTATGGGCCTTGTGAGCTTTTGACACCTTGATTTCGGCCTTTTTTTGCCAGTCTTACCTCCCAACTATCATGGAACATGTTGTTTGACGATGTACAGATGTCAAGGTCAAGGTCAAGGTCAACCTAGGTCATCTAAGATAATTGCGTTTTAGGTAAGCGGAAATTACTTTTTGTCAAGTTTTTTTACTACATTTTTGGTAAAAGCTTCTCAGATCATGATTTCATGTAATATGGACACAAAAATAATCGGTGCACACATAAGTATACACACAGACACACACAGACATACAAACACATATTATTGACCTTGACCTAACTTGACCTGACATGACCTCAGCAGCAAAAATCTGGTCGGGTAGTGTGACAAAGAGGTTCTAGCTGGCTTGGCACCAGAAAACAGCATCGTCATCGGTATATGGTAAGCAGCGCACTTGATATCCAATGTTGACCCAAAATAGCAACATTTTTTAGTTTGACCTGACCTGGAAGATCAATGACTGACCTGAGAAGGTAAAACTGGGTATCATTGGATTTGTCTCTTCCCAAAGAATCTTTTTGGTCTTTACCGCTAAGCTCTATCTCCAACAGGAACGAAATGGCGCGGGGGGGGGGGTGGTGGCAACCACCCCATGTGCGTTCTAGGATGGGAAAATGGCATGTGCGGGCGAGGGTTAAAGTTATCTGTGAAAAATCTTAGGGGGTTGCATCAACCTCCCTCGCCGGGCGAGGGTTAACGTGCCTTGGCGCCGGGGCTGACATTGGCCAGGATAACACGCAAGCAAGTAATTTTTTACAGTATGTGCTAATTGATGGATTGTGCTGGTTATTCAAACCATTGGTAGTGAGCACCATATTTTCAGCTGTGTTTTGAATTGCGTAATGATATAAGTGTTTCCCGCAAAGGTAGGGGAGACCGGGGCTATTGTTGGTAAGAAGGCATTGTTTCAAGTCCACAAACGACAAAACAGTGCAATTCAAATCTTTATATCTATATTTCGCAGACGTTTCAACGACAAGGCGTCTTCGTCAGTGCAAATGAAATGAAACTTAGTACATATGTTTAATTAATTAGCATATTCGATAGCATATTCAATAGGATATTCGACAAATATTCGATAAATTACTATTCGTATTCGTTCAATCGTTCACATCGTTCACGATTGAATGAATACGAATAGTATACCTAATTTATCGAATATTTGTCGAATATCCTATTGAATATGCTATCGAATATGCTAATTAATCAAACATATGTACTAAGTTTCATTTCATTTGCACTGACGAAGACGCCTTGTCGTTGAAACGTCTGCGAAATATAGATATAAAGATTTGAATTGCACTGTTTTGTCGTTTGTGGACTTGAAGACCGGGGCTAGTTGGTGCCAGGGGTAGGGTAGACCGGGGCAAGTCGCCCCGCCGAGGTAAAACGCCTCACCGATGTTTCTCGGAACTGGCAGGGTTCTGGGGAAACATCATTCACATAATATATAAAAATCAAAACGTCTGTACGTATGTATGTATGTATGTATGTATGTATGTAACGCGTCAGTCACGCTTGGCGGGCTATTGCTCCGGAACGGTGCGGGCTACGGGGGTGGAATTTTGGACATAAGTCGGACGCGTGCATCTGTTTGTCGTATCAACTTTTCGAGGGGGTGCGTGCGGCGGTTTGCACGTGGCGGGCGCATCTTTGCGGGATTTTGGGCCGCGGCCGGCGCCGAGCAGAGAGCACGCGCCTTAGGCTCAGTTTCTTCGCTGCAAAACTGAGGGAAATCAGAGCCGGCAGGTCACTGACCTTTGGCAATGAATACCGGAACAGAGCACCGCCGGCCAGGAGTAGACGCCAAATTTATTCTGGCCATAACTCGGCCGCTACTGGGCCGATTTTAATGAAAATTCACATATATAAAAATCAAAACGTCTGTACGTATGTATGTATGTATGTATGTATGTATGTAACGCGTCAGTCACGCTTGGCGGGCTATTGCTCCGGAACGGTGCGGGCTACGGGGGTGAAATTTTTGCGCCGAGTCGGACGCGTGCATCTGTTTGTTGTATTAAATTTTGGTGGGGGTGGGTTCGGTGGTTTGCACGTGGCGGGCGAATCTTTGCGGGATTTTGGGCCGCGGCCGGTTTCGAGCAGACGGCACGCGCCTTAGGCTCAGATTGTTCGCTGCGAAAATGAGGGAAAACAGAGTCGGAGGTCGTTGACCTTTGGCAATGAATACCGGAACAGAGCACCGCCGGCCAGGAGGAGACGCCAAATTTATTCTGGCCATAACTCGGCCGCTACTGGGCCGATTGCAATGAAACTTGATTTATTACGCTGCGCGTAATGCTCGGCACCTAGTCTCTTCTATAAAACGTGCACTATATGATCATTATATGAGCAGACTGGAAAGAAATTGTGATGACTCTTTCGGGAGATATAGCCAAAAATGTGTTTTTTGAGTGATTTTTATGTTTTGTTGTCAGATTATGAATCATGGCGTTCTTTTATGGTCCACATTAGGTTAACGACTTTTATGTATTTTGAACAACTATTGTCTAACGCTTATCATGCCGGGTTGGTTCGTGTTAAATTATGTCTTACTGGAGTGCAAGGCGTTGTTCTCTGACCGAACTACGTGATGGGGTAAAACGCCCCAGTAGGTCGCGGGGCAAAAAGCCCCTGGGGCGTTTTACCTCTTGTGTTGTTGGGGCTACCCACTTTCTAATGTTCGGTAGCTGGCGAACAGTAAGTTTCTGTGCCTTTATGTGTATTTTTCTCAGCAACTGGATGGCAAAGGAAGTATTTTGTTAACATTTGCATTGCAATAATTTATTATTTGGTCTTATGAGGTAGGTGAAAAACCTGCTCATACAACAGTGTCATATGCTGAGCACCTGACAGGATGGAATGTGCTAACTTCAGTGCCGTGCCTCCAGAGGTCTAAGGGACCTCTCACATAAGATTTAGCCAACTGCCATGTTAAATCTTTATTCTAAGGTATGGGGCTACTTGCCCCAGGCCGTGGGGCGTTTTGCCCTGGGGTTGGGGCAAAATGCCCCATTTGCAGTTGCTTCACAAATCACTTCCTAGCTTGGAGTTCGATCATAAGTGAATCAATTTGAGGGGTGCAATTTAAAGTAAAATGTCCAAAGAACGCATTGAGCACAAATTTGGCCTTTCAGGTGATGTGGGACAAAATTTATGTAGCAAAATAAATTATCTGGGGCGTCTTGCCCCAGGCTACCCTACCTAAGTTGGGACGGAAGGAATATTTCCAATACAGTTCTCGGCAGTTGGCGTTCAAACTTACTTTGCGCATGCATAGTAACGCCGTCTGTTTGTCAACGTGGTGTCCGCGCTTCCTGAGGTAAGTGCTGTTAATAATCGCTAAAATTGTGTTTTTAGGTACCAAAAGTGATTTTCTTGCGTTGAAAATATTCTCTTCTATTGTCATTGATAGCGGAAACATTGCAAAGTCGCTACGCCTAAGAAACCTGCGGACATTTTGGTTATGAGTACACTCTCCACCGTTCTTCGCCAAATCATTGTGAATTGGTCACGTGGTTCAAAAATAAAAATGACGCTTCGGGGTTAGTTGGGCCAGGTTGATGTGGGGCAAGTTGGGGAAGTTTGTGAACAGCGAGTCGAGGGAGAAACATGCATTCAGTGTGAAGATTGGGCACATGTGCTATGCACAGGGGGCAGCAGAGTCTTCATCTGTCAAAACTGTTACTCGGAGAGCGAATGAGTGAGGTTGGTGATGCATTTTGTAAAACCATCTGAGGCTGGTCATATACATTTTGCGTGTGTGCGTTTTTTGTTTGCCGCAGGAGTACTGCAAACGTTTGAGTTTTGTCATTAAATGTTGATAAACATGCCCGCATGGATTAGCGATGATTGTTCATGTGAAACGTGAATAAAAATGTGTTTAGATAAACTGTTGCAGTGTTGCACCAACTTGCCCCAACCTCTGGCCCGCCTCAACTCACCCCGCCGCGGGGTAAGTTGGGACATTGGAGGATGGTCGCTTTGATGAGATATGACACCAAGACGATACTATCATCTTATTTTAAGTCTTCTTTTAAAGATAAAGAAATAATCTCTCAGTATATAGCCAACAAATAATATGTATAGTTATACCGAAGTTATGACGCTTCAAGTAAAAACTGGCCCAACTATATAACCCCGGTCTCCCCTACCTCCCATCTTACTGATTAAATATAACATAGGTACGCAACTTCACTTTATATACCTGTGTATTCTACAAAATACATCGAGCTGTCACATCTAATAGAATGACACGCTAAGCACATCCATTTCGCCCATTGGGCGAATCATAAGTTTTGCCACAGGCGAACGCGCGTGGCCGGGCATGGGGCATGTAGCATGGTGAGCACACAGTATTGGGACACATTCTTTGTACTAGCCTTTTGAGCCTCCATTGGCACGGGCTTCGGTGAGCCAACTGGAACGGGTAGCTGCACGGGGGCACTGCAGTGCACGGCACGGCTGCAGTGCACGGCACGGCTGCGGTGCACGGCACGGCTGCAGTGCACGGCACGGCTGCAGTGCACGGCACGTGTCTGCTGTACTGCGGAGGAACACGCTGCACCAGTCTGCTGTGCACGGAACGCTGCTGACAATACCGGGTCTCACGGAATGTTGACTGGAAACGATACAGTGGGCAGCGCGCTGCCTGAAAACGTTGCTGCGGTGGGCCGAATGTGATAGGCTGGCAGTTGGCAGTTAGCGATGCTGGTCTAGTCTCAGAGTTTGAAACGGGAGACGGTAGCTAAGCTAATGTGTGTGTTTTTTTCTCGTGTCATTGACCCTTGTTTACGTGGAAGCAGACATCAGCCCAGAGTTCTGCCATATCGATGATTTAGCATATTAGCGACCGTGGCCATTGTGCTGTACACAGGTCAACGTGTCAACGTCCAGGTCCGGTCATGCACATCACGTTGTGAATGATAAACGTCTGATGGGAATCAGAGACAAAGTACAAGAAATCCCTTTCTTCTTATGCTAAGCAGCTATATAGCTTGCGGTCGTGGTAAAGCAGCCCAGGCGAAGAAGTGTCATCGCCTACTCTGACTGCGGCCAGGCAGGCAGCCAACCGTGCTGTGAGGGTCTCAGGGCTCTGCTCCCGCCCGGGCCCTGTCCCGGGGCTCTTGCCCCCACTCGGGTTATGTATATTGTATAAGGCTCTGCCCTCCGCGGGGTCCGGCCCCGGCTCCGGCCGCGGTCCGGTCAAACGCCGTCCAGGTGCGGGGTTGTCCAGCTCAGACACTCTCTGAGCTCCTCGGAGGTGACCGAGGAGCAGTCGGCCTGCCGCTGACAGCAGCCGAGGATCGTCTGTGTCACCGACTCGTCCAGGCTGAGCGACGCCAGCAGCGCTGCCACGCCCTCCGGCGCCACCTGGCGGGCACCAGGCGGCGCTGCAGTCGGCTCACCAGGCGGCGCTGCAGTCGGCCCACCAGGGGGCGCCGCGGCGCGGCCCTCCTCCCAGCTCTCCCCGGACGGAAAGAGCAGCGAGTCGATAAAGGTGACCGGCGCGGACTGCGGAGGCGGCGGTGGGCCGGCGGCGGCGGCGCTGCCCGGCTGGGCCGCTGCCGCCGCGCCGCCACTGGCCCCCGAGACGTGGCTGCGGCCGCTGCCGAACCCGTGCTCGGAATCGTCCAGGGCGTCCTCGTCAGGAATTCCCAGCTGAAGTCGCAGCTTCTCCAGTTCCGAGCGCATCCGGGCCTGTCAGCGAACGGGATGGTATCATTGCAGCAGACAGCGAGATAGGCCTGCTTTGCGGATTTAATGATGTGCTGAATAATTGCAGAGGCAAGATGGTCGCGAGAATAGGTATGAATCTATGGTAGCCTCCAACAAGGGCTTATCGTGTGTTTTTACGGAGCGAGCGAAGCGAGCGTAGTCTTTCCTTAGATTAACAGAAATTTCTGAGTATGAGCGGCCGGCCGGCCGGCCGGCCGGCCGGCCGGCCGGCCGTGCGGACGCTTTTGCGAGGCTTATATCTCAGCAACCACTTGACCGATTTACACGCGGTAAATTTTGTAGGGTAGCTTCATTCCTTCTACCAAGTATTGGACTATTCCCGATGCATGTGGATGACCCCTTATGCACGTGCCACGTGCAAAACGAAGAGGTGTCAGTTTTGTAATTGTTGCAATATCTCGGTAACTACTTGGCCGATTGCGCTGAAAGTTGGCATGTAGATAGGCACCCACTAGGCACTGCATATCCATGTGCCAGAGTTGGGGTGCTGCTGCACGTGCGCACGTGCAGGGGTCGTTTCCAGATCTCGAGAACGGCTGGACCGATGGCGCTCAAATTTGGTACACGATTAGGGACCAGTTAGTAGGGTGCCGTGCACAAGTCAGTTGGGACCCATTTTGCACGTGCGCACGTGCAGGGTGCCACTTCCAGATCTCGAGAACGGCTGGGCCGATTGTGCTCAAATTTGGCACATCGCTAGAAACCGGTCAGTAGGGTGCCGTGCACAAGTCAGTTGGAGGTACCCCCTCGAAATTTCGCACGTGCAAGACTCACCCCCTCGCTCGCTCCGTTAGTCGCCCCAAAAGGCGTTATACTGGTGTTATGAATGCGAATGATCTACGTCATAGCGTCAGTTGAAGGCAAAATAAATATAAAGCTGAAGCCACTCCTTGAGTAAGGGAAGTCGCGTATCGCGGGTAGGTATTCAACGCCACACATTCTGTGGGGCGCCAGGTAACTCTCATAGCATAGCACATGGAAGTCGCTGTAGTGTTGCGTTCCCAGTTGATTTGTCTCACCGTGTCCAGCTTTCCTTTGTGTCTCTCTGCGTGCGCAGCCATGACCCGCTTCAGAATGCGGTTGGTGAATACCCCGCGGGCCAGGATGTCCGATGTGACGTCATTCAGGAACTGTACGTACGCCTGTTCATCGGCAGTGCTGCCGGCAAATGCATCACGTCAGCACCAGGGCTCACCGGATGTGCTGTGCTCGGTAACTACCTACTTGGTATTCACTTTTGTTTTAACCAATATGTTTTTTTTTTGTATAGGTAACTATTATGACTCTGGAACTGTGCAGCCGTGCAGGTATCTGTCACCGCATGTCACAGGTCCATGTCTGTCACAAGCTACAAACTATACGCTGGAGTCTGATCAGACAGGCCATCAGTGGCGGGTCGGCTGGTGACCGGCGCCCGCACTGACCTCTGGGCCGGCTGAGCCGCTATAGGTGGCGCCAGTGTCGCTCGGCTGGCGGCCGCCGGCGCGGGCGGTGCGATGGCGGGCGGCCGGACCGCCTGGCCGGCCGTCGTCTCCTCCGGCGTCGGGCCGCGACTGCTCGAGCTGAACCCGCCGTAGGCGCTGTCTTTGCTCGGGGAGCGGTCTGAAATTCAAACATTTTCAGCGTCCTCTTCAAAAGAAGGCTTACCTACTGATGCCAATTGCCATTGCTGGATAGCTTTGCAATACTATCTTATTATATTCTTTAAATAATAGACATAAACTATGCCTAGTTAACCCGCGCCGGGCCGATGCTCCGAGACTTCCGCGCCGGGCCGGGGGTGTCTGAACACCCCCCTCTTCTAACTCGGCTCCTAGGCCACGTAGCGACACGCGGTAAGTGGCAATGGAATAAAAATAAGGACGAAAACACTTAAGTCATTTTTTTGGGTCAGGTCAAAGGTCAGGTCACCAGAGGTCACCAAAGGTAAAATGTTGGCTATTTCAACATTTTGGAAACTGCAAATGGCTAACTCGGGAACCGGTAGAGCTACAAAGCCGCAGGGGCGGCGGATTCGGGGGGGCAGGGGGGGCAGCTGCCCCCCTGGCAAACTCGTGGGGGGGCAAAAGTATCTTTTTGCCCCCCCATAATTTGTGACAAAGCTTAGACAAGAAACCATGTACCTGATTATTCTGTTCGATCATCTGAAGATGTAACCAGATGCCCATAACTTTATCATACGCTGCCTTTCTTAAATGGCAAGCGTTCACGTTCATTTGAAGTTTTCCTATCTTCAACCTAGTTTTGGAGGCTTTATAAGCGTCAACGTGACGCAGCGGAAACCCAGGCCTTCAGTGACCGCTTCAGGAGCGACGGATACGGGGTGGCAGAGGAGGCATCGTTCCCTAAGAAACTTTTGGAGGAGGGGCAAACGTATATTCTTGCCCCTCCATATTGTGCCCTAAACATGAGGAAAATTTCCATAACCTGATATTGCAGCTATGCGCTCCTACAGTTTGTCCAACGGTGCCTTTTGAATATGTGTAAATGCTAACCATTTCCGCTTTATATCATTTTGTTTTTGTCTTTTCAGATTCGATTTATAGATGTGTGCAAGAGACGCAACTCATACCTTCAGTGGTCGTTTGCCTCTATTTTGTACCTACATAAATGCCAAATCGCAAGCGAGCGGAGACGGAATGGCTAGCCATTCGCTTGCGGGTAGTTAGGACTGATGAGCGCTCATAATAAGCCACTCCCCTGATTTCTTCGAGCGCAACAGTTTCCAGCGCATAAAATGGTAAACGCCGAGGTCGTACACATTGACGACATTGACCAATGCACGGTATGGTATGACACCCAAAGGCCAGTCATCAGAGATCTGCTTTGGGCATTCGGAGGCTTGTGTGGGGCCAGTGTAAAAACTGGATGTTCACAGTTCAGTATCCACTTTATTTCAGTTTTCACTATTAACTAAGTAAAAATTAGTGTTGGAAACTTTTGAGGGTTAGGGCACTGATCATTAGTGGGCCCCCCTCTGTCTAAAGGCTGACTATAGAATAAAGAGCATCAAACACGAACAGTAGCGGCGGAACACCTTCAATTAAGGGCCTGACGACTTTTGGTCCCATTCTTTCCATGCAACGCCCATAGCGCTAACGTTAACATGCCAAAATCAAAGGGGAGCACGGTGCCCCGGTGCCCTCCCCGTTCCGCCGCCTATGAACACGAAAGCGAAATCTGAGGCATTTTGGAAAAATGAGTATGCCCCGCAGCGTCCGATAACTACCACCTTCCGGTGGGTCAAGCCAACGGGGCCCAAGGCTATAATGGCACTTTTATAACGATAGCACTAACCTTGTCTCACTTTTTGTTGAAGTCTGTTCCGAATGGTTTCGGCGACAGACTGGCTGCACTGAGGTATGTGCAACTTTAATTAAAGCCACCTGAGGCACCCTGACACCAGGCTGAATCTGGGTTGGAAATGCTCTTGCAGATATCACTGGCCGCTGATTCTCGAGTGCCTGAATCGGTAGATGTCGTGGCAAAATTTGGTGTGATAATTTGGACCTTACCGCAGTCAGCGCACCCTCAAAGAAACGCCCTACCCAGAGCTTCTGGATTCTCGTTTCAGTCCACCGTTCCTTCACCCCAGCCCACCGCCACGCTCCCTCACCTCAGCCCTCCGTTCCCAGCTTGACGAGCATTTGGGCCTTAGTTAAGCCTTGCTGTAGGCTAACTGTATAAACCCATCGAGACAGCCCGTCTCGGTGGGCTTAGTTGGCGAGCTACTGCCTTGGGGAGGGTTTCTGGCGGATCGCTGTCCCAATAGGTTTAGATACGACCGACTGTCTCTGAATGTTTGAGCGGTCTCCTCCCGCTGTGAGCTAGTTGATATCTGTCTCAGAAATACTTTTTAAAGGAAGGTTAAACGGAAACCGAACGTAAAATGAACAGAGGAAATGCTAACGAGTTACCTCATTGAAGGAAAGCGCTCGCCTACTTCAAAAGGTTTGGAACCGTTCTTCAACATCTAATATGCGATCGGGTTATGGCACAACTTTTCCCATTGAAACTTTTTTTTTCTAATACAGCAATACGAAAAGCGTTACATCGTCCACTGGCGGATCCAAGGAGCGGGCATTTAAAGCAAATATTTACTCTCCCTCCCCTGGCCCCTGCATCGCCCGAAATAGACAAAGCGTACCTTATGTTTCCTAATAATAACACTTTTATCAGGATTTTTTTTATTTTTTGCTTTATACTCTTCAGCAGTAGATCCGTAAGGAATCGGAATCCGAGGAGTTTTTGGATTTGGGACACTTTTTCGGGGGTATGTCCCCTACAGTGTCGGAAACGTCTTTCTGGATCCGCCTATGACATCATCTCGACTGGGATCTTGCCCCCCCACGCCAAAATCGAATCCGCCGCCACTGCAAAGCCGCGGAAAAGCGCATTCGATAGCTCTTTAAACGCTTTTTCGCCAACATGTCCTCAGAGTTTATCTCAGGTCAACGATTTAGCCTCCAGAGGGCAAAAACCAAAAATAGCAGTTTTAGGAAAGGCGTTTTTCGGCAATAACTTTTGACCTAAAAGAGCCACGACATAACTTTGCCAGCATCGTGTTCCTCTCGTTAAGACGCTTTGAATGAACTATAATTTCAACTTTAAAAAGGTCAACTTTAAAATTTGACATCAGGTCAAGGTCATGACCTGACCAGAAAAGGTCATGTTGCATATCAGCCGATCCGCATCGTCGAGTCGAACACATCTAAGGCGTTTTCATCGCTCTAGTATGCCTCTATCAGAAGTTATTAGAAAAAAACTGTTAGATACTATTCATGACCTGAGATGACTTCGGGGACACAACGAGGGGTCACAACTCACAAGTGCTATTTCCGGTTCAGTATGTCAATTTTACCTGCATCCCGATGTTTGAAGGTGTCTAGAATGGCGTTTGCGCAAAAGAGACGCCTTTCAATTTTCTCCCATTGACTTAGGGGATAAGACGGGCAGGGTAGGTCAGACGGGCACCCCTTCTGCAGACCAAACCAATAGCGTTACGAGCGAGAAAAATTAGGACCAGAATTGTCTTTTCCCGGTGCGAGCGACTTAATAGAGTGTCATTTGAGCGAACGTCATTTGAGCGAACCATTTTCAGCGAATGGCAATTCAGCGATTATCAAGTTAAGCGATTATCAAATATAGCGATTATCAATTTTAGCGAAAGCTATGTTTCAGCGACATCTATTTCGCCGACTACAATTTGAGCGACTGTCAGTTCAGCGAAACACTTCATCGTCCTGTAATGGTGTATTGTTTTACTTTTGCGAGCGTATACGTACCTACTAATGTTTCTGGAATTTCTCATGGTTATCCGGAACGCGGGGATGTCACGTTCAAAGATCAGACATTGAGCTCCAAATTAAATGCTACATTTCTCAGAAATTCCGACGGTTCGGTTTCACTCCCCTGCTCTTTGCCAATTATTGTGACCAAACGTTTGTTCATAGATTCATATTGCTCGTGCTGTTTTTAGTGAAATTCCCCCCCCCTTGAAATTGGATCAGTTCCCCATGCTGTAAAATTTGCTCTTGCCCAAAGCACCGTACGAATTTCCAGATATTTGAGTGGGGTCCCTGAAACATAGACTTGATTCCCCTGTGGCGCTATCCCTCGAGTTTATTATTGACCCTTGTTATTCCTTCTGTCGTCCTATCTCTCACGTTCCACATTTTCAATTCAAATTTTGCCCGCCTCCTTCCCCTCCCACCCCTTGTTGGTCGTCCGATGTGTCTTCGAATGATGCGTAAAGAGGTGCAACAATTTCCAAATTATTTTGTTCCTGAATTTCGTCCAGCTGCTTAAAACTATTGACCACATCTCAGACGGAAGAAATACCAAATACCATTTTGGTAAAAATACGAACATTTTCGTCCTCAATGTATGCATGACATTCTAAGCCCCTAAGCACAAACACTCATCCAAATTGTTTGCCCAAAATGAAAAATTAGCAAGTCGCAAGAATTTCTAAAAGTAGCAAATGATTGCCTTTCGTCGCGTTCGGTTTCGCTGTAACTGTATTCGCTCAATTGGTCTCCCATTGACCACCATATGTTCGCTCAATCTGGTTTCGCTGATTCTGGTCCTCGGTAAAGTTGATAATCGCTGTGATTGAATTCGCCGACTTAACAATCGCTGAAAAAGTCAATCGCTTAAATTGATAATCGCTGAAAATGTTTTGCTCAAATGTCGTTCGCTGAAATGACGCTCGCTCAGGTGTCGCAGAACCGTCTTTCCCAGTACACACCACCGTTGAAGTCTGGTGAATTTGTGTTCGGTCAATAATCTTTATTTTGATTTCCTTAAAACACCCATTTCATTGAAAACATCCATAATGTATCGTGCAAGTTTTTGTGTGCAGCACTATAGAGTAAAAAACTCGCAATCACTTGTGGTACACTCATATGCCACCAGTGTTCATTTACCGCGGATTTGCTTTGTCTGCATCAAATTGTCCACAGAGAAAAGTCGTGCTGAACTTCTGACATTGAGTTTGGGGTAAGACGGGCAACTATGGATCCAATGGGTCTGTAATGGTGAAAATATTTTTGTTGTGTAGGAAAAAAAGAAGCATTTCTAATAAGAATATGTTCGATTCCGATACTCACAGACATGTTAGCAATATTCATTCGGCACAGTTTATTCTCGAATAATGAATGTGAAAAACGGCTCTATAAGGCTTCTAGGGGCCTATACACTAGCATACGCATTCTGCACGAATCTCGTATACTGCCTTTTCCGAAGCACTTGAGACCAACGAGCGACTGTATTAACCCGCGCCCAGATGGGGTCTGCCGAGCAACGGGGTCTGATGGGGGGGGGGCCATTTTGGCCCCCCCCTCAGATCTCGAGAACCACGCAACATAGCGACAAGCGGTAAACGGTGTTGGATAGCCCCAACGGGAAACTACCTTGTGACCCAATTTCATTGACCTCGGTCAAACCGATGACGTCACAGGTCAGGTCAAAGGTCGAATTTTCACCGTTTACAGGCATTTCAAGAAATGCGTTGTAAAATCGTGTAAAATGCATTTCATTGAAAATCACCGACAGAGAAATGTTCTTCAAACACATATTTTGCTATTTGAGGTCACTGATACCAGGTCAGGTCACAGAGGTCAGGTCACTGGAGGGGTCACAATATAAAAGTGTCGTGTGATACATGTTTTATGGTCCATTTTACATGACAAATGCGATTATGTGGGTCAGACAGACTTTAGGGCCAGCTTAGGTCACGTTTTGGTCAAGGTCAGGTCAAGGTCAGGTCAAGGTCAGGTCAAATTAGGTCAAATTTCAAAGTTGATATTTTTGCATAAAATGGGTATCGATTCGATGCAGCTCGTCACGGGGAGTTCAATGGTGGTCTCCGTTTTGCGCTACGAGGTCTAGAATTGCTAAAAATTGAGTTCAAAAATTTGACGTCATCAATTTTCAACAGTTTTTTCGCTATAACTTGGCCAAAATAAGAGGTATCGATCTAAAATTTGGTATGTATATCGAAGAGCGCAGGGACTATCACATATATTCCGGTTTTTTCGAAATTCGAAAAATTTTTGGAAATTTTTTGAGTTTTTCTAAAGAAATCAATTTTTTTGATTTTTGGGGGTCAAAATCCCAAAATTTTGAAAATCCGAGATAGCAGTTTTGTAGCGCCGTGTTTTCTCTACACAACCGCATAAAGAACTTTAAAATTGCTTGTTAACTGTAGAATTGGTGAGCGTTTCAAGATGTCATGTTTTTTGCTCATTTTTACTCGAACATGACCTCAGTTTGACCTCAATAACTCCTGACCTGAGGTGACCTGTGACTTGAAATTTTGTGTGAAGGTGTCAAATTGATGCCCGGTAAGGTACCCAAAATTTGGCGGCGCTGCGCGCCGCCGTTTTCTTGCTATTTAAGGAAAACCACAGGGGGGGGCCAAAATGGCCCCCCCCCATCAGGGCGCGGGTTAATGCGGCTAATCTCGGGCATTTGTTGCGAGCTGCGCTGGTCGGTGAAAGAAGCTGGCCGTCTTACCCTACTCATGTGACCGTCTTACCCCATGGGGTGGGGTAAGACGGGTTTTTGCAAGGTTTTGCAAAAATAGCTGCAGTTTATTTTTTTTGAATCTAATCTTCTGGTAAATGGAAGTAAAATGTCTAAAAAAGGCTTTCACTCAGTTTCCCGTTTCTATGATGTTTCTGACCGGCCGAAAAAATGGCTCCAAAGTTAAGGTGCCCGTCTTACCCCACTTTCCCCTATAATGGAGAGGACGCAAAACTGACCTGCACTTAGGTCAACGATATCAAAATTCCGAGATATACGTTTTATAGATACTGTTACTCCTATCCATCGCTAAAAGTTTCAAGGGAATCGTTCAGTCGGTGTAGCTATGACGAGCATTCTAACTTTTTCTGAGGTGAGGTCACTTGGCGTGACCTGTTGACCTGACCTTGAGCGATCTGGGTCTGAAATTTTAACAATATGTGTGAAAAAGATGCACAAACAGGTGTGCCAAAAACGGTGGCGCGGAGCGCCGCCTATCTGCGAAAAACCGCAGGGGGGTGTTCAAACACCCCCGGCCCGGCGCGAGATTACCCACCGACAATTTGAAGCAAAAATAACGTTATAGGTACATACCTTTGGCTATGGCGTTCATGCGGGTAAGTACGCTAATATTTATCAGTCAGCAGATGGATATGAGCCGGCAGCCTGGCGCTGCCGGCCGGCTATAGCGCAATGTCTTACAGTTGGAGGCCTTGACGACGTGCGCGGCGCGGCGCCGGGTAACCGCCTTGGAGGCCTGCTCCCTGAGCCACGCCTCCTGGTCCGAGTCGGGCGAGATGGAGAGCGGCGGCACGCGCGAGCTGGCTGGCCCGGACGAGCCCTGCGCAGGGACGCAGGCAGTCAGACGGACCGGCAGACCGACACACAGACCGACAGACCGACCGACAGACAGACCGGCAGGCAGACCGACCGACAGACGGACAGACATCAAGACCAGGCAGACCGACAGACAGACCGGCAGACCGACCGGCAGACAGACAGACAGACAGACCAACACACAGACCGGCAGACAGACCGACCGACAGACCGGCAGACCGACCGACAGACAGACCGACAGACAGGCATGGACAGCGAGACAGACAGACCGGCAGACAGACCGGCAGACCGACAGACAGACAGCAAGACAGACGGACAGACCGACAGACCGACAGACAGACCGACCGACAGACAGACCGACAGACGGAAGCACTCACCCGTTCCAGATCACCTCCGTCGTCGTCGTCCTCCTCCTCGAAGTCGTCCTCCTCCTCCTCCTCGAAGTCGTCGTCATACTCGTGTCGGAGCGGCTGGCCGTCCTGGTCGGCGCCCGCCTGGCTGTCCTCGTGGTGGTCCACGGAGAGCTGCGAGGACTGGCGCCGGTCGGCCGAGCGTCCTCCTGTCAGCGGCGGCGAGCAGGCCGGCCGCCGCACCGCCGCCGGGCCGCGGTACACGCGCAGGTACCGCAGCCGCGGACTGACGCTGGTACGCAGCACCTGCCGCCAACACCGCCACTCAGCACATCTGTCCGCCGCTGAGCTCCCTCTCAGGTGTTATCCTCGGTACTGCACTGGCAGCCCTGGCCCGAAACTGAAGGCTCGAACCGGCGTCTGACCACCCACCCCACGGCCTCTGGTAGCCCACCCCACGGCCTCTGGTAGCCCACTCCACGGCCTCTGGTAGCCCACTCCACGGTCTCTGGTAGCCCACTCCACGGTCTCTGGTAGCCCACTCCACGGCTTCTGGTAGCCCACACCGGCCGGTCAGGTCCCATGCCAGCATTAGTTAAAGGGTAGAAGCTGAGTAAAGACCTCCGTTCCGGCGTGGGCACGGACCCCAAAAACAGCATCATCCAGCTGTGAGGCGACTAGGGAGTGGAAAAAGCTCCTTCGGTTGAGCCATCCGGGTTCCATTCCCGGGCAATGCACGTGGCATTGCCGCTGCCGGGCCGCTTGGAACAGCGTGAGAGTTCCGGCCAGCACTTGGTCCACTGGATTTCGTGCTTAGTTCAAAGTGCATTTTTAGGGTGGTGGAGCGGGAGCAGGGGTCTCCAATGGGAGCTATCGATTCCTATACGAATGAGCTAGCCACAAAAGAGCTAGTGTTGTTTGAACTAGCTCATTTGGGCTAGTGCCACAAAATAGCTAGTGTGATAGTAACTAGTCCTACAAAACAGCTATGAGCAAAATAACTATAGTGTTGTAAAGGGCTAGTAGATCGGCTCATGCCGTACCTCTTCGGGATTTTATAAGCAAAGTTCAGTTCAGATCAGATCGGTCACTAAAAAGGTCGTAATATTAAAAAAGACAGAAACACACGACTCATATTTTATTCTCAAACGTTCATCGAAATATTGTATCCAACTCCGCGAAGAAACTCCTGCCTGTCTATGATGTCTTCTGTGAGACGGCAAATGAGGGCCTTAATTCGTTTATTTATATCGGCATACTTTTTCTCTTGTTTTTGAGCTTTGTTTCCTGTCTTAACCCTCGCCCGCACATGGGGGGGGGGGGGGTTGCACCCCCCAGGTAGTCTTTCTGCTCTGCACTCAACATTTTGTAAGCTAGAAGGCTGATTTTTCGTATAGCTGCTCCTCTATCCTTTCTTGATGTCCACTGAAAATTTCAAGTTTCTGTGACTTTTGGTTTTGGAGATACCTATGACCTTGTTTTTCAGGTCATGTCATGACCCAAATGGCCAATTCTCGACATCTTGCGTTGGCTATGGGCCTTGTGAGCTTTTGACACCTTGATTTCGGCCTTTTTACCAGTCTTACCTCCCACCTATCATGGAACATGTTGTTCGACGATGTTCAGATGTCAAGGTCAAGGTCAAGGTCAACCTAGGTCATCTAAGATAATTGCGTTTTAGGCAAGCGGAATTTACTTCTTGTGAAGTTTTTTGACTGCATTTTTGGTAAAAGCTTCCCAGATCATGATTCCATGTAATATGGACACATAAACAATCGGTGCACACATCAGTATACACACAGACACACACAGACATACAAACACATATAATTGACCTTGACCTAACTTGACCTGAAATGACCTCAGCAGCAAAAACCTGGTCGGGTAGTGTGACAAAGAGGTTCTAGCTGGCTTGGCACCAGAAAACGGCATCGTCATCGGTATATGATAAGCAGCGCACTTGATATCAAACGGCGACCCAAAACAGCAACATTTTTTAGTTTGACCTGGCCTGGAAGGTCAATGACTGACCTGAGAAGGTAAAACTGGGTATCATTGGATTTGTCTCTTCCCAAAGAATCTTTTTGGTCTTAACCGCTAAGCTCTATCTCCAACAGGAACGAAATGGCGCGGGGGGGGTGGCAACCCCCCCCCATGTGCGTTCTAGGATGGGAAAATGGCATGTGCGGGCGAGGGTTAAATTTGTAAAGTTCGGCAGCTTGCAGCACTTCTTCTTTTTGAATCGAGGCCAGAAAGTTCCAAAGTGACGGATATGGCGCAGTAGCGGCGGAACACCTTCAATTAAGGGGGGGGGGGGGTCACTGCCGACTTTTGGTCCCATTCTATCCATGCAACGCCCATAGGGCTAATGTTAAACTGCCAAAATCAAAGGGGGGCGCGGTGCCCCGGTGCCCTCCCCGTTCCGCCGCCTATGGTGTGGTGAGTCCACCATTCCTTGGATTGCCCTCTACCACCCTTCAATTTTGTTGTTGTTCCTCGGCATTCCCTCTTCGGTGCGACCCCTGACATTCCACACGTCTTTCCCAAAATTTGGTGCTCTCCTCTGCCCCCTCCGTCCCTGCCTCCCACTAACTCTCCTTGGGACTAGCTCTTATAAGTTACTAGCTATTTTAACATTAGCTTTTACATCACTAGCTCTTTTGTAGCAGCCACTAGCTCAAACGTACTAGCTCAAATAAGGCACTAGCTGTTTTGTCGCTAGCTATTCCGACACGAGACCGGAGCTATCGCATTCGCCGACCGTCCAGCCAGGAGCAGGTCTCCATGGTGAGGATGGCGATGGGTAGGCTTGTTCCGAGTAGGTATAGCAGCAACAGATTGGGCGACATCAACACGCTAAAGGGGAATACACGGGGCTCGGAGCGCGAAAAGTGTTTGGTTTACGCCTTTAGTTTTGGGTGTCTTTGACGCATCGCACTAAACATACACTTGCTTTCAAGGTCTGACCCCCTGATGGGTCACGGCGCGTCGTTGACTGCTTGGTTTGGTCCCCTGCAGTTAACGAGTGCCTGCTCTGTCTGACGCGGTGCTCTCACCTGCGGCCGGAACGGTCGTTTGGAGGTGAAGTCCTGCGGGAAGCGCTCCATGACGTCTCCGGTGGCCGGCTGCCGTTTGCGGCCGGCGGTCCGGCCGGCCGGCGGCCTCGGGTGGCTGGCCGCGCCGCGCCCAGCCGCCGCTCGGGCCCGGCTCGCGCGTGGCGACCGCTCCATGCCGGCCTTGGTGGCGCGGACTTGACTCAGGTAGCTAGAACAAGCCGTCGGTACAATGATAAGAATACAGATTATAAAACTGCCCCGCCAAAACGCCCATGCAACTATACACATGCCATTTACTGCAACTAACTGCAGTCAACAAATAGCTGTTGTTCACACTGTTCACAGCGGTAGCATCAACGGTTCATCAACAACGAATTTTTAATGCAATGCAGGAACAGCAAAAGAAGTCCTGTTGACATACTTTAAAGGACGCCATCAAGGGCAACGCCGATCAACATACTTATTTTGAGCTTTTCGCTTCATCTACGGAGCACAATGGCAATGAAAATCACCCATACCGCCCTGTTCCGTCCAACTTCCTCGAGTGTCCGTTAGGTCAAACTACAGTAATCGTGCTAAACTTAAAGTAAACGAAAACCCACCACAGTGCCGGCAGTGAGGGCTACTCCCCTCTGTGGGTGACCGTTTGAGCGGCAGGGCGGGCTGTCCGATCGGGACAATCCCGTCCCACGGGGACAGAGTCTGCCGCTGCGGCGCACCGTCGGGGGTCCGCACAGTCCGACGTCCTCAATTCCTCATTCTATCTTATCATCCCAGAGCTCTGCAATGGCCTTTTCAGGCCGAAGAAGCTCCCCCTCGCCTAAAGAGCTCTGTCTGTTCCAGAGGAGAGCCGGCCGCCGCTGCAGCTCCGTCGGGATGTTATAGCCTGTCGCGGAGCCGTATGGAACACCGTTCACGCTGGGCATTGTGGCGCTCTATCGTCCAAGCACTCCTTTGATTCCGTTGAGATAGTAATGGTGCAGATACCTAAGGTGCAGACATACGTACATCCTACATTTATGGCAACCGGATCATTGACAAATGAGTGTGCGCTTCTATTTAAACAAAGCCCTGTTCCCGCACACCAGTGTATCGTTAGGTGCCCTATGTATGCATATAAGAGGTGCCCACAGGGTGGCACGACCCGTTCCGTGCTTCTATCCTCGGGATACTGAAATCCTTCTCCTCCACGCCGCAACCCCCTCCGGGCTGGACTGGCAACTTTATTTCATGCGGGCTGCTCCCTTGGAGCGGCACCGCTGCTTCCAAGGGAGCGCACCCCGTAGCCGGGTGAAGTGAGTATCTTGGGGCTGGGTGGCCTGTCCTCTGGACGGGCTCAGCCCCGGTGACTCACTAGGGTGCCTACCCAGGCCAATGTCTCCCCCTAATTCCTATCATCCATCCGGCTCTGAAATGGTCTCGTCAGACCGAAAGGGCCTAACCCAACAAAACAAACAAATAAAAACAGGGTGGCAATGCGTCCGACTGCCGCGGCCCGGCCGGGCCCGGGTGGCCGGTGTGCCTGCGTGCCGCCTAATGGGCGCAGTCAGATATGAGCCCCCGTCGGCCCGGCGGGGGTGGGCCGGCCAATCCGGGCGTTGCGTGTCTGGGCGGTGCACCGGGCCCGGTCCTGCCCACGTACCTGTCGATTTTGCCCAGGATGGAGTCGGCGTCGGCGCCGCTCTGCCGCTCGGAGGGGCTGGCCAGCTGCGATCCGACGCCCGCCTCCGGCGCCGGCGACTCCCGCACCTGTGCGCAGAACGGGACCAGCCGCGGAGGTGACCCACCTCTGAACGGTCTGACCTGGCAGCCTCTGAACTGTCTGACCTGGCAGCCTCTGAACGACCTGGCAGCCTCTGAACGGTCTGACCTGGTAGAGAGCCAGGTCAGACAGCACACAGCTGACCGAGAGCGCCGGCCGGTCCAATCATCGTTACTAAAATCACATTCTAGGAAACCTCAACCTAAGATAGCCTGGGACGTAAACAAAGTAAAGTTATTGAATGGAGTCAATGTTGATACGATGTTCAGCATGTTGGAGAGCAGTTAGATCAAGTAGGAATTTCCTACTTGATCTAACTACTTGATCTAAATTTCATCGGGCTGTGGCCCATCGTTCTTCCCTGATTTTGCATATTTTAACGCAATTTATAAGAAAATGCGATTATTTTCATTCCTTTAGTGCAATAAAAACATAGGTTCTCAAGGCCAAGTCTATCAAAGGTCCGATGAAAATTAGCCATGTTATAGAGACGTTAACCCTCGCCGGCACAAGGATGCAACCCCCCTAAGGTGTTTCGAAAATAACTCACGTAAAAAGCGGCCGATCACGACGAAACTTTCAGTATCCTCGATTTACACCTACCCTAAAAATTTCATGACCCTGGCCTAAATGATCTTTGACCTGTGACCTATTTCTCGAGACCATGTTTGGCCGGAATCGCGATTCGGCATATGTCGGCCCGCATTAGACGCCCGTTTGCAGTCTTTGCGTGGTTTCAAGCGTTCAAACATGTGATATGATATTGCCCCCATGCATTAGGGTGGGTGTCAAGGTCACCTGAAGGTCAGGTCAGGTCACTGACCTTTGATGACCTCGGTCCACTTTTCGAGTTTTACATGTTTCTAGGCTAGTTAGGTTTTGGAGCTGGATTCGAACTTAGCAACCATATGAACATTTACGAAGTAGTTTTGGTGTCTTCGTAGCATGTTACGAAGCTGTCAGAAGCGGTTGACACGTTACAAATACCTGACAAGACCCCTACTGTCTGACCTGACCTGACCTGACCCGACCTGGCCTAAATTCATTAAGACATCATATGGGATCAAAACTAACATGATATTCATGATCAGCACCCCGAAGGCCCCAAAGCAGCCACACCTAAAGACGTTCTAACAGGTCCCGATTTTCCCGACTTTTGGGTAATCGACCTAGCCTAGAAGATCAGCCGATGACCTAGGACCTTAAAATTGGGTATCATCGGCTTCCTCTCGTCACGGGCAACACGCTCGTTTTTTTCCGCCAAGCTCTAGCTCGATCAGGGGCGAAACGCGAGGGGGGTCGCCTCGCACCAGCTCTTTGTGCAGTCGAAGGACGCAAAAATGGCCCGTGCCGGCGAGGGTTAAATACCCTACACTTAAACCCACGAGCCGCTGGGGAGGGTGGGGGGCATAAAGTTGCCCCCTTTACGTTTTGTGAAATATTTCCGAAACCTGATGAGCTACGAACGTGAAACTTGGCGTAGCTTCAAATGAATACCAAGGCAATGTTTGAGGAAAGTTTGGTGGTTGTAACACTTAAGATGACGTCACAGTGACGTCATTAAATTTTGTCATTTTCCGATACGGACCGTTTCTGATGTCGCTGAACATGAAACTCACCTGTAAATGAACCAGACAGCACCTGTTGTCATCCTAAAACATCTAAGTACACTTCCAACCAGTTCCTGACCAATAATCGGTCCTTTATATTCGGTCTCATGTGTCGGATATATCGTGAGGAAACTGAGAGTCGCAAATCTATAATTTGACTTCTGACATCACTGTGACGTCATTTCAAATGATATTGACACCAAATTCGGACACAACCTCCGCGAGGTATTCAGGAAGGTGTGTGCAAAGGTTCGCTTCTCTATCTCTTCGCGTTGCGACGATATCGTCGCAGAAGTAAAGGGGGGGGGGCAACTATATGCCCCCCGCAGCCGTCGGGTGGCGCGGAGGCCCAGCGGCCGACCGGTTAAGGAGCCGGTGGTGTGATGTCCCCTGTTTTTTGAATATTTTCATACTGGTTCTGCCATATTGTGTTAATTAAGCAGCCATACATGCAATAAAAACAGTGAGCCGTTTCACTCCTAATTTAGCTAGAGTCTTCCGGAAAAAGCGGGCGTGTGCGTCGTTACGAGATACGGCGGCTGATATCCGATTTTAAGGCCTTAGGCTAACCGGTGACCCCTGTGATCCAGGTGCAAAGTGCCCCAAAATAGAAGCTCAATTTTGGTAAATAGCTTTGCCACAAATGGTTGCATTGCAGAGCCGTGATTTTGGCACCATGATGCCCGTCGGGGCCAGGCGCGTTGAATGATATACTTTTTTGTTAGAGTTAGGTCATTTTCGGATGTTGACATCAGGCCAAGGCTAGGTCAAAGCAGCTCGAGTCACAAAACTGCTTGGAGGGTGTTGTGCTGCATGTCATTTGATGTGGCAATTTTTCTGAGTCAATTTATGACTCAAACGACTCACTAGCTCAATTTGTTCGGAAGTTATTGGCGAAAAACTCCTGATGCATCAAACAACATTAATGATGTCTATTATATGATGTCATGCAAGGTCTGACCTCCACAAATAAAGCTTCAGGATTGCAAGGAGCATTACAAATCACGAGTCCGTGTGCCTGAGATACGTTTGGCGTCTTTCCACACATAAAAGATCCTTACAACCATGTGTCATTGTATGATAATAAAGCGAAAGATATCAGCAATATTTACTTGTTCATGGACGTTTCATGAACGTTCATGAACGTTCACGATCTGTTAGTGAACAGAGCATTACTCGTGAACAGGTGACCTTGAATGAAGAACTTCGTTAACTATCAAATTAGTAAACGAACATCGTTCACGAACTGTTCGCGAACAAATATACAAACACCAAACCCTGGCGGTTAATGATTCAGGAAGTGACGTTATATGACGCAAGTCATACTGCAGCGGGAGTGGCTGAAGAAAAGTTGTTACATGAGGTTGCGTTATAAAATCATGAAGTGTCTTCACTCCTTATTTAATACACATATGGATTTGCTATGGTTTTCGCTATTGCGTCCGACTCCTCATGTTTGACTGATGCCTTGTTTTAGTTCAAGGCAACAGTTGCTGTCGGTTAACTATGAGCGTGTGGAGCCACCGCAGCGTCACTAAGGGCCGGGAGCGCCCGCGGCGGCCGTGCACCGGTGCACCGGTGCCGTCCGGAGCCACCGGAGCCACCGTGCACCGCTCAGCCATCGGTCGATACTCGTACACTAGGCCGGTGCAGAGGTGCCGTGACGGCGTACCAGTGGCCGCCGCATGGCGCACACCCACCGTCACCGAAGGGGCGGTGGGGGGGGGGGGGGGGGGGGGGGGCGTGCACCGGCCGCACGGAGCACCGCACCTCGGCTGCATATAGGAATGAACATAGCGTATGCATTGAGCCGCCGAGGCACGGAACCGTAGAACGTTGATTCATTTATAAACCACGACGGAATATCAGATATAAAGGCCGCTTGCTTTCAGTCACGGGAACGGCTCTTTTCAGAAGCAAAATAAAGCTAATGCTATTTAAACAAATAATTTAAACAAATAAGTTCTTAAACATATCATTTAAGTAGACCTTTTCCTTCACATAAAAAGTACACTGAAACCAATTTCACCTAAGGCTGGCGAGTAAACCTGTGCGACGCAAGTACCCCTATCCGCAACCATTTTCGACCTGAACCCCTCCTGGAGTAAGGGGTAGGTCCCATTGCAGAGTAGTAGTACCCGCTCTCAGCGGACACGCTCATAACTCTGACGGGTATAGATCTGGGATAACTCCTTCAGGGAAAGGTCTACTTACTCCTTTCCTTCTCATGATGTAACAGCTCGCTATTCAGTTCACTCTGGAAAGTAGTAACCGTTCACGGCTACCCTCCACAGACAGGTATGAGGTAACCCTTGTCACCTGCCTTGCTGCCTCGCCCCACAAACCCCTAAGAGAGTGGTTAGTAATTACCCTCCACTCCTACCCTTCGCTCGCGTGAACCCAAAAACTCTCACGCTTGTCCATATTTGAGGAAATATCACTGAAAATTGGCAATCCCATGCTTGGAAAACATACCTCACCTTGGTGGGAAGGCTTACATTGAATTTCCATTGAAGATTCGACAAGACCGCCCCACCATGCAGTTACGCATGCAGTAGATCCGCTTAATAAATCCTCGGATAATAAATCCAGCCGCTTATTGTGGCCGCCTGAGCCTTTCACGGATATTCTCCATAGATAACCATGCTTAATAAATCCGCTTAATAAATCCACGTACTCCACTTAACCCGCACCCCGGTGGGGGTCCTAGATTTCCACGCCCTGCTGTGGGGGGGGGGGGGTTCAAACACCCTCGATAAGTGTTCTGGCCAATAGCCATGTTTTATGAGCTATATTATAAATGACAGTGGTTTCACTCGTTAGTTTCTGAAGAAAAGGCGTTACCTCTAGTCCCGTGATGAATATTGTGGAGGTTTGAAGATGCATCTTGACAACGTTACTTTCGCTCCACTTGAAAACCGCAAACAATGTGCAAATATAGGTATCATTGGTGCAAAAAAGGTTAACCCGCGCACCGACGGGGGGCGGATATCCGCCCCCCCTGAGTTTTTTCGTGGATAGCGGAAAAACCGCGACGCGTAGCGCTGCAAAATTTGGTACGACTATTCTCTCATCAATTTTACACATGGTGTGCAAGTTTGAACCTATTACCTTTTAAGGTCAGGTCACCAGGTCACTTTTAATGACCCAACCTCAAGTCACTTTTTTGCAACTTTGTCACCGTGCCAGAGCTACAGTAGAATTCGGTGGCCTTTGAAAGTCGCAGGATGTTATTAGGTCATTAGTAGCTACAATTTGTATATCTCGGAACTTTGATATCGATGACCTTAACCCGGCGGCCGCTGGGCCTCCGCGCCACCCGCCGGCCGCTGGGGGGGGGGGGCATATAGTTGCCCCCCTTTACTTCTGCGACGATATCGTCGCAACGCGAAGAGATAGAGAAGCGAAACTTTGCACACATCTCCCTGAATACCTAGCCGAGGTTGTGTCCAAATTTGGTGTCGATCCCATTTGAAATGACATCATAGTGACGTCATAGGTGAAATTATAGATTTGCGACTCTCATATTCCTCACGATACATCAGATACATGGGACCGAATATAAAGGGTCGATTATTGGTCAGAAACTAGATGGAAGTGTAGTTAGATGTTTTAGGATGACAGCAGGTGCTGTCTAGTTCATTTACAGTTGAGTTTCATGCTCAGCGTCATCAGAAACGGTCCATATAGGAAAACGACAAAACCTTATGACGTCACTGTGACGTCATCTTACTTGCTACAACCACCAAACTTTCCTCAAACATTGCCTAGGTATTCATTTGAAGCTATGCCAAGTTTCACGTTCGCAGCTCATCAAGTTTCGGAGATATTTCACAAAACGTAAGGGGGGGGCAACTTTATGCCCCCCCCCCCCCCAGCGGCTCGTGGGTTAAGTCAGGTCAATTTCTCGAACTCCCCATTATAAGTCAATGGGGGAAAAAATCAACTCCCTGTTTTTACCACTAAAACGGGTCAGAATGGCCCATATACCATACATGACTTCATATACGATCAACCTTCACTACCTTGAGGTCTGCTTTGCTGTTGGGCAGCTGTAAGGTCATGTGACGTCATCAAAGGTCACCAGCGGTTTTTTTTTTACAATAACTCCGTACAAGAGCAAGATACAGCCGCGCGGATGGTCTCGTTGTGTTCAGCTCGTCAAGGCGCATCGAATGATATGCATATATGATGACCTCGAGGTCACGTGACCTGAGGTTAGCCTTTGACCTTGACCTTTCGAGGTCACCATTTATATCATTCGATGCGGATTGACGAGAGGATCATGATGATGCCCTTAATTTGTTCCTATCTTGACTAATTCGAAAGTTATTCGAGAAAAACTCTCCATATCTAACGCCACCATTTTGGCGTTTTTGACCCCTGTGACGTCATCTTTGACCTGACCTGAAAATGACCTTTGTAAAAATTGTAGACCTTGTCCGTGCGTACTCCATGCTGTTTACTGCTTGTCGCTATCTTGCTTCGTTCTCGAGATCTCGGGGGGGGGGGGGGTGGTCATCCGCCCCCCCCCGTCGGTTCTAAGTTGGCGCAGACCCCCGTCGGTGCGCGGGTTAACATCGCTTTAATTCGAAAATGAATGAAACAGCGCCATCTAGGTGTGGTGCTTGAGTCTTCACGATGCCTCGAGTACTTCCAACTCCTTCAGCAAAGCTTATATCAAAATCCACCACCCACGGATACTCGGATACGATATATCGTATCGTATCTATTCGAGCTATAGCTCGAGTAGTTCCAACTCTTTCAGCGAGGGTTTCTCTTTCAGTTTCCAACTACTAATAGGTAAGTACCCTACCTGAGACTGCGTGTACGGTGCATAGTTACGAGTACCTACAAGCGCAGATTATTCTGCATACCCTCGAACTATGTAAAATCTGGACTGGACATGCTGAGCTAATGCGCATATACCACCCGCAGAGCACGACTTAATTCGCCGGCTCCGGGTCAAATTGTTTTCAAAGTAAAGACCGAGAAGTAAATTTAATACGGGGCATTCCAAGTCAACCAGGACAGCCAAAATCTGCAACGTCCGAGATATAGACCCGGGAACAGGGGGGGGGGGGGGGGGGGGGGGGGCAGCGGGGGCGCTTGCCCCCCCCCCAACTTGGGAGCCGAGGGGGCGGCGACCCCTCAGCATTGAGGCAGCGAGAAAAGATCTTTCCTCCCTTTTCCGGACTTCTTTCCTTCTTGTTTCCTTTAAACATCTAAACATCAGCACGCGGCATTTTCCTTGCCATCTGAATGGTTTCTGCTGATACAGCATTGATTTGACAACATCTGCTATTGTCATCCCGCTTTGATTTGTGCCTGACCTTGGCCATAAGTTTGGCAGGCCAGCTTTTATACTGGACCATTTTGAGTCAACTTTGAAAAATATACATAACGTACAACGGTGGTAAATCGTTGCTATAGGTATAACACAGTTTACCCGCTCCGGGTGTGAGGGAGGGGTGTGGGGCAACGAGTGCACTGACGTGGCGCCCTCGGAGGGCCGGTATGGGATTACAGCTCAGCGACACTAAGGGCTTGCGTGGTGCCTTCGGTTATCGGTAGCACCCTCAAAATCACCGACGTAGGGCCCTCAGAACCGCCGGTAAGGGGCCTTTAGAGGCACTGGTGCTGGGCCGTCATGCAGGTGCCGGTGTGGGCGCTCAGAGGTGCCAGTGTGATTCTCTCAGAGGCGCCGATGAGGGTCCTTACAGGCGTTGCTGTGGGCCGTCATAGACGCTGGTGTGGAGCCGTTACAGACGGGTGTGGGGCCTTTAGAGCTGCTGACGCGAACTCTCTACAAGCCGGCAAGGGGTCTCAGTGACCGACAAGGGGTCCTTAGGCCGGCAGAATAAGTCCTGTGGGCAGGGGCGGATCCAGAAAATCTCCAAGGGAGGGGCCATTAGAAACCAGGAGGCCCCCCCATAATCCCACCTGTTGGAGGCCCCATCTTCCCACTTGTTGGCCCCCCCCCCCAAAAAAAAACTGCGTCTATTGAGCTTATCTAGCTGTTCAGGCAACATCTCAACATCTGTGCAGGCTTGGAGGCCCTCTGTGCAGGTTAGGAGGCCCTGTAAAAGTGGTCATCTCTGTGAGTATAAGAGACCTCCAAGTTATGAAAAGCTTTACCAATCTTCTAACAAAGAAGTCTTCTCAGCTAGTCTTCTAAGAAATAACTAAGTGGGTAAGTTAAAAAAAAAACTCATCGGATTTCGGCCACTTTATTTTCAGGAGGCCCCCTTTTCAGCTTTTTAACTTTTTAACTTTTTATTTTATTTTTGAAAAAATCGGCCAAGGGGGGGGGGCATGGCCCCCATGCCCCCCTTGTATCCGCGCCTGCCTGTGGGGTCCTTAGAGACCGGCATGGTGGGGCCCTCATGTGGGGCCCTCAGTCACCGGTGTGGGTCCCTCAAAAGTCACCAGTTGATGGCCTTTAGATGCGCAGGTGTTGGTTGGGTCCTCGGAGCCGCCGATATAGGGCTTTTTTTAGGCACTGGTGTAGGCACTCACAGTTGGGGATGTGAAACCCTCAGAGACACCGATGTGACCGTGGGCCCTCGCCCCTCATAGGCGCCGACGAAGGCCCCACAGTTGCCGTTATGGGGCTCTCAGAAAAATAAGTGTGGGACCATCACAGTCGGGAAATGCCCCTAGAACTGGCCCCTCATGCCGGTAAGACCTCTCAGAGGCCAGTAACGGGCCTTTGGAGACCACCAAGGTGCCTTTAAAAGCCGCAAGCGGCCCTCAGAAACCAGCGTGGGGCCCTTATGGAGATCTTAGTGTGGCTATTTAGGGTTCATGAGGTGCTCTAACGAGCCCCATGGGGCCCTTCTGAGTAGAAATATGGCCATCGTTAACCCCCAGCGGTCAAATGGCGCCGCAGGGCCCCTCGGACCCGAGGGTCCCTTTGAACCCGATGGGGGGGGGGGGGGTACGTGTCCCCTTAGACCCCTAGCTACGCTACTGATTCATATGCATCATGTCAAGTATTTTAGGCTCGCCCCCCCCCCCCCCCCAACTTGAAAATCGTTCCCGGGCCCCTGCCTGGTCCGAGATTTTGTTAAAACTTGGTATACCTACTTGATAGCTATTGAGTGAAATCTTTGAGGGTGAAAGCCTTTTGTCATATATCATCGAGCTACGGAGATACAGGCCGCTAAACGTCTACCTTTTGAGGAAAATTTGGCACGATCTGCACTCTTTAAAGATCTAGGGACTAGGTATAACTTCAACTTCGTGTGCTCTGCATCACGATAGGCCTGTAGATAGGTGAATTTTGGCATGGTATATCGGTCATATATCAATCAATCTCAATCCCAAGTCCGTCATCGGCATTGTACTTCCTTACCTTTGTATTTTCTTTGTCCTACAGGCATACCTTAGTTTTTGACTTCACTATGTCAGTCATCTATCAAGGATTGCATTCCCCTGGGCAGTTAAACTATAGAGCGTGTTGCGGCCATCATAACAAGTGAATCAATAGGGCGCCTGACTGGGTGTGTGGCTGCCGATGCGCGGGGCGGGCGGGCCCACGGTCGTCGCCGGTCGCCGCGCACCTGTTGTCGGCAGTAGTACTGCGGCGGCAGCCGGTCGTCACCCAGTATCGCCTCCACCAGCCGTAGGCCGTCCCCCGAGTCGCCGCGGCACCGAGCTTCCACCGGCTCCGCATCGCGGCGCCACCGTCGCCGGCCGTCCTCTCGGCGCTGAGCAGAGCCGCAGACGAGGCATTGGTCAGCGGCCAGCGCCCTCTACACAAACGCAACGGCCGCGGGTTTGGGGCATTCCATGTCAACCGGGACAGTCAAAATCGGCCACTATCACTGCGATTTTGTTTAAACTTGGTATACTTATTGGCTATTGGGTGAAAACTCTGAGGGTAAAAGGATTTTGACATATGCCCTCCGGCTACAGAGATACAAGTGGCTAAACTTCTGCTTTTTGAGCAGAATTGGACATGTATTGCAATCTTGTAGGTAAGATCTACAGCTACAACATTTTTGAAGATATACATTTCAAACAAACTGAAACGTGTACATAAGGAGTTATTCTAGCTGAATTCGGCAATTTTCACAATTTCTGCCAATTTTATAATTACTTTATTTCAAATTAATTTCTTAAAATATAATTGTGAAAAATAGTTACCCTTCGATTTTGCTCAAATTAAGATATTGTCTTCCCCTACAAGTAAGGCATACGTGCTGAGAAAATCAGAGTGGGCCAACGATAACTTTGGGTGATACCTATAGCAACAAGTGAGTGTACCCACCTCGTTATCTATGTATAGGTCGCGGGCTCGCGGCCAGTGAGCCTCAAGCACGCATTCGTTTTCTAAGTAGCATTTGGCCAGCCGGCAACTGTCGTGAGGGCTAATGTTCGTTTCTAAGTAGCATTTGGCCAGCCGGCAACTGTCGTGAGGGCTATGCATATCTATGAGTGTTAGATAAAGTCAGGTCAGATTAGGTTTGCTTTGGATTGGTTACTTTAGAAAGAAGCATCTCCGGGTAGCGCCTCTCCTTGGTTGCTAAAACGAAACACGCGAGTGCCAGATGTTACGAAGTCCAAAAGACAGCTACGTAAACGTCGGCCCATTCTGGATTTGTATATGATGTAAGTAAGGTGTAGGAAAATGAAATGTGTATAAATCAGCAAAATCGAATGGTATCCATTGTTGTCAAATTCAAAATTTGGTAATTGATTTTTAATTAAGTTCATCAATTAGTTAATGACGTCATTAATATTATCTTCAAATTAAAGCCTGATCTATTTCCTCCATTTCAAACTTTATTACGCTGCAAAATGTCTAAAACTTTTGAAGTTATGGCACTTTAAAGATGAAAATGTGTCTGGCTAAGTAATATTTGATGACGTGTATCTCGGAAACGTGAGGTCATATCTTGACAAAAATGTCTCCTTTCTTTTCACATATAGATGAAAAGTTTTTCAAAGTTTCGCAAAAATCGGAGAAGGTGAGGGTCAAAATGGTCATTTTTTGCCCCACTTGACGTGGAATGCCCGTTTTACAGCAATAACTAAAACAGGGGATCTTATCGATCTGTTTATCAAGCACGTGTCCTCAGACCGTCGGTCCTGAAATGCTTATATCGAGTTTCTGTTAGCATACTTTCTTACTCCTGAGCAGGCATTGCAGGTATATGTTTACCCAGCACAACACATCTTTTATCAACAGGCAACTAGCTATCTTCTTCAAAATAATTTATCTATATTAGCAAAACGCAAGTTTTCAAAAGCATTCTTCATGGGTACATGAAAATGAACTTATCTTCTAAACATTGCCAATCAAAATATTTGATAATAATTAGGTACTGATGACTGACTGATAGGTAAGCATTAGGTACTCACAGCAAATAAATGATGATTCGATGGATTATTGATTGATATCCCTTTCCAGCTTCCATATATTCACACATGCATAATCTATTGACCATAATTTATAAATATATGACTAATGTACTACTGTTCTAATATATTATAGTTGTGTTACTGCTTTTAGGTTATCCGACAACGCTCACAAAAATGCTGACAATGCCACATTGGAAACTCACTGAAAATACACTCTGTGCGCCAAATAATGGGTCGCTTACCTTTCGCTGTCGCCTGTGGCCGGTATCGATGGTGGGTCGGGCGGCAGCCAGGGCCCGGTAATGGTGACTCAGGTGCTGCTGCAGCGTCAGGGAAGAGCCACTGGAGCTTCGCGCCGCGTCACTGCCTGCCGGCGGCGCACAGAAGAGCTCGTCGCAGAAGCTCCCAAACGAGTTACAACCGTGGTAGTCTCTGAGCTGTGATACTCTCAATCTAGTCCCCATGTACATTCCTAACTTGATAAGCTATTACGCAGCTTAGTTTTGAAGTGGATCGAATTTCTTATATAATTTGATAAGATGAATGTATTGCAAAAAGTTAGCTATGCATGTTTACTGCTTATCAAGAATGTACAAGAACTGCCTATCATGAACAGCAACTTGCGTGAAATAGGTAAGTTGCATTTTCTACAAGGTCCTAAACACGGACTATACATAAATGGTCCTAAAACACGATTTTCAGGTATTTTTGAGTTGAGAAAATTTTCAGGGAGTTTCAAGCTTCTTTCAGGGCTCCGGTTCTAAACTAGAAAACTTGCATGCAAATGTTATCAGGCGCCTCGCATTCAAGGAAATCCCTTATTATTATTCTTAGGTGTTGTTGTTGAAATCCCTTACAATAGCTTGGCTTGGAGGGATGTGTGGAATCTTACAGAGGGAAATAGCAGGGAAATGCAATCACGAATAATGGAACACAAAGACTACGAAGTGACGCCTACAACACTTTTTTGTTGTTCCTGCGCATTCCACAAATCAGTAAATTGTGATGGAGCAACTGCGAAAGTGCCAGCGACATGTGCGAGCAGGGGATATAATAAGTGAAAGGGACCGAAGCGGCGCGGTGGTTGTAGGTAAGTACAATGAATGTACTATCAACACCAAAGTGAGGTTTATTACTTTGGCAATATTACCAGTGATTCGTACTAAAAATCAAATGAATGAATATGCTATAAGCCGTTTTCACGACGGTTATCTGGTACACATTTGGTTCATATTTAGTGCAGATTTGGTGCACATGTGGTCAAATATTAGGTTCAATGTGTTTCTGAGTAGTTACAGTATGTAGAATCCGCCTAATAAATCTTCGGATATAAAATTCAACCGCTTATTGTGGCCGTTTGAGCTGTTCACGGATTTTCTCCATAGATGCCCATTGCCCATAGCAAATAAATCTGCTTAATAAATCCAGGTACTCCGCTTAATAAAGCCATTCGGGAGTTCGAAACCCACAGTGACGTCTTCCCCATCGAGATGTGGCACCCAGCCCGCTCCCAATGAACCGTATTGTAGCAGCAGTCTGCAGCAGTTGGACTTCGCGCAACAGAGGGAGTTCAGGGCTATAATGTTAGCTTATCCACTTGTATTGCAAGCGGAGCCGATCGTGCAGCTGCAATGCAGACTTGTCATGAAAATAGCTGACTCCGGTTCATAAAGCCACCACTTTATTAACTGGTTTATCAAAAGTCCTTGTCACCAAGGTGCATTTATTAAGCGAACTTTGCTTTATCATAGTTATCAGCTGGAGTTGCACTAGATGCTTCTATTCCTGATTTTTACATTATCAGACATTATTTTCGACTAAAACACTGAAATAAATTCATGATATGAAGATAATTGTAACAATTCAGTGCATTAGAGTGTTTATAATGACTTCCGTCTAAATGAGGCGACTTTCAAATTTCTCCCATTGACTTATAATGAGGAGCTCGCCAAATTTACCTGACCTTAGGTCATCGATATCAAAATTCCAAGATAAACATTTTGTACATACATAATGCTGCTTATCAAACTCTGAAGATTTCAAAGCGATCGGTCACTCGGTGAAGCTTTGGCAGACATTGAACCTTTTGATGTATGTGGTGAGGTCACCTGACCTGACCTTAAGTGACCTGGGGCCGTATTCACGTCGATCATTTTCGTAAGAATTTTCTTACGCACGACCTACTTCTTACGAAAATTTGGTATTCACGTCGACAGCAAAAATATCTTACGAATAAAAAAATTATCGTAGACAGTTTGCGATTCACGTCGACCTTTTCTTAAGAATTCTCGTAAGAATGTCGTAAGTGCGATTCACGTCGTGTCATCTTAAGAATTTCTTACGTTTTTCGTAAGAACATAATGTTAACGGTATGGTGGACTTACGAATGCTCACCGAGCTGTCGTAAACTGACGCAACGATAAATCAGTGCAGTAGGCTAAGACTAAAATGACGAATTATTTTAAGAATTGACACTAATGGTTGTCTGGACTAAGAATAGCTGTTATTATTGAGCAAAATTATTACCATCGAGCGAGTGAAGCGAAGTCTTTTCAATAAAACGGGAAAATATCAGTATGAGCGGCCCGGCCCGGCCTGTAATGCTTTTGGAGGCCTATATCTCATCAACCGCTGGACTGATAGACCTGTGGTCTTTTTGTTGGGCTGCCCCATCCCTTCTAACCCGCAATTTACTATCTTGATGCATCTAATTGACCATCGTGGCACGTGCCACGTGAGAAGTCAAGGGCGTCCAAGCTGTTTTGCAGAAGTAGCGCTTTTGAGACTACCAATTTCTCAAAGTGGGCTTATATCTCAGCAACCACTGCATTAGGACGTTTGACTTGCGGTAATTTTTATAGGGTAGCTGTAGCCCTTCTACTAAACATCGGGTACTCTTGATTCATGTGAGTGACCACCCGCTGCACGTGCAAAGTACAAACAGGTGTCACGTTTGTTCTTATTACAATAACTCGGCAATTACCGGCCCGATTGTGTTGAAACTTGGCATGTGGGTAGGCACCTACCGGGAAATGCGTTGTCATATGTCACGGTTGAGGTGCTACTGCACGTGCGCACGAGCAGGGGTCGCTTCCAGATGTCGAGAACGCCTGGACCGTTTGCACTCAAACTTGGCACACGGTTATAGGGAGCGGTGCGAAGGGTGCCGGGCAAAATCCAGTTTGAACCATTTTACACGTGCGCACGTGCAGGGTGCCGCTTCTACATCTCAAGAACAGCTGGGCTGATTGCGCTCAAGTTTGGTCAGCGGCCAAGCCGATCAGCGGCAAAAAGGCTTTCTTTCTAAAAAAGGCTTAAAAAAGGCAAGAAAGCCTTCAAAAAGGCTTTCTTGTAACTTTCTATATGTATGGGGGTACAGGTGCTTCCCCATCCACTAAAAGCGCATGTCCATCAATGTCAAGAAATAAGGCACCTCATGCAGAAGTTGGGCTGCCCAGTAGAAGAGGGGCGCCCCCAACACTTAACCCTCGCCCCGTTGGGGGCGAGGGTTAAGTGTGGTTTTTCCTGAATAGCAAGAAAGCGGCGGCGCGCAGCGCCGCCAAATTTTCAGTACCTTCCCGGACATAAATTTGACACCTTTACACCAAATTTCAAGTCTTAGGTCACCTTAGGTCAGGAGTTATTGAGGTCAAACTGAGGTCATGTTCGAGCAAAAATGAGCAAAAAACATGCAATCTTGAAACGCTCACCAAATCTATTCTACAGTTATCAAGCAATTTCAAAGTTCTTTATATGGTCTAGTAGACAAAAAGCGGCGCTACAAAACTGCTATCTCGGATTTTCATAATTTTGGGGTTTTGACCCCAAAAAATTCAAAAAATTGATTTTTTTTATAAAAAAAGATGATGAAGATTTAATAATCGAAACGCGTCCATGCACTATTTGTTCCGTGTTTTTCTACTTGTCTCTATCAATTATATACAATGGATAGTTGTGTAAATCCCTACAAGGAGGATGCCTAAATCTCAATGATTAAGGCAAAGGTCAATGCACCAAACGCTTCTTACGAATTTCTTAAGATATTCCTACGAATTTTGACGTGAATACCGATTTTTGTAGATATCCAGACATTTCGTAAGAAAAAACTTAAGAAGTGTCGACATGAATTCCAAATTATACTTACGAAAGAAAATTGACTTACGAAGTCGACGTGAATACGGCCCCTGGGTCTAAAATTTTCACGACATACCGGGTGGCCCAGAAAAAACGTTCCCAACTTTAAATCAATATTTCTCAGAAAGTGATAAAGATACAACATTGAAACTTCGAATAGTCAATGCGGCACACATTTTCAGTAAATGGTGTGATTTTCATGGTGTTCGGTAAATAACTTTTTAAACGGTTCGTGTTTCAAGCATGCCATGTAAAAAATACTTTTTTGCTCAGATGTTTACTAAAAAATGTGAGTGAACGGGTCACTTTCACCCCGCGGCACTGCGGCTTAGAGCCATGACTTCTACTGGCAGCTAGTCTCATTGATGGTTCGGGTCTCAGGATGACACATTCCCTCAGGCAACCACGATGGCTCTGTGCCAGCGGCATCGGAAGAAGTTTCCAGTTTTCTAACCATCTTGTGGCTCAAATGCTTTCCTGGCTGACATTCCTGGGAAAAGGTAGCTTTTCACCCAGTTTTTTTTTTTGTCATCTGCTGGCAATGTTGTTTTTCATAAGCTATTCTGTGGTCGATAATTTGAGACCAACGCCCATGCATCAATGAGACTAGCTGCCAGTAGAAGTCATGGCTCTAAGCCGCAGTGCCGCGGGGTGAAAGTGACCCGTTCACTCACATTTTTTAGTAAACATCTGAGCAAAAAAGTATTTTTTACATGGCATGCTTGAAACACGAACCGTTTAAAAAGTTATTTACCGAACACCATGAAAATCACACCATTTACTTCCTATTCTGTGGCACAAGAACCAGTCTGCTTTAGTTTGTTTTCCTTATCCGGTCGATTTACTGTTTGATCTACTGAAAGGAGGGTAATCAGCAGTAATCCATGCACCGTGCCACTCCTGCTCGAAACATGATTTGGTGTTGAAACGATTGATGCATCCATGAGCACCATTTTGGCTCAGTATTTGAATATTTGGCACATAAGTGAGACAAAAATATTTAAAATAAAAACATACGTGTTTGTTTCATTCACGTGCTCTATTATTTTTTTACTCTTTTTTATAACATGGGACGTCTAACCCAATCATCAATATCGTTTGACATCGGCAAAAAAAGCAAAAACGTCTTGCTTAATTCAACTCAAGATTGCCAGCTTGAAAATGATGGTATAGTGTTATAATTTGGCATACCAATGCGCAAAGAAATGACGCAAACTTGATGAAAATTTTGGCTCGTTATTTGTACTCGTATTTGATATATAGGCCTCCAAAGTTGGGAACGTTTTTTCTGGGCCACCCGGTATGTAGAAGTGCCAAAAACGGCGGCGCGAAGCGCCACCGTTTTTGGCACACCTGTTTGCGCATCTTCTCCGCACATGTTGTGAAAATTTCAGACCCAGGTCGCTCAAGGTCAGGTCACCAGGTCACGCCAAGTGACCTCACCTCAGGAAATAATAGAATGCTCGTCCTAGCTACACCGACTGAACGATTCCCTTGAAACTTTCAGCGATGGATAGGAGTAACAGTATCTATAATACGTATATCTCGGAATTTTGATATCGTTGACCTAAGGTCAGGTCAATTTTGCGGCCTCTCCATTATAAGTC